GATATATTCGCAAGTGCCTGACCAGACCAATATGTGCCATAAAGGAACGATCGCGATTCATACAGATTGGAGTCGGGATCACACTACTGGTGGTGGAGACGCTATTACTAAGTGTGATGGCCAGCGCGGTGCCAGGAGAATTTTCGGTGGAATCCAAGTTTGGGTCCCAGAACTTATTTAGGTAATGTATTGTTCTCGCTTCAAAATAGCGCGCTATAAATAAATACAGAAATTTACTTATATTTCTTACTTGCTTATACTTTATTGGGTGGGACAAATTAGGACATTTTTGACTTACACTTAGTTGATTGTTTTTTAGGTTCCTTTATATTCCTGAGAAACAAATGTTGATTTGAGGACGTCTACTTCAAATTATCTGATGTCCGACTTAACGCTCTGGAGTTAGATTAGCATAGTTGGCGGCGCTCCGCGCCGCGCACAACTTTAATATACATGCGCAGCAACTTTACTTTATTTGGTTTATTTAACTAATTATATTTAAGTTCACTTTTCAGTTTGGTTTTCAGTCCATTATTATGTTCATTATTTATGTTTTAGTTTTAGATTATTCTTTAAGTACAATAAGTTGACGGTACTTTAGTTTACGTTTTTAACTCAGTTGATCTTAGTTTAAGTTAGTTATTTTTTAATTACTCATTTCCCAATATTTGCACAATCTACTATTTTAATTATAGCGCACTTTTGTGTTGACAAAAATTAGGGCGTTTCAATAATTACTCCTGTTTTTCTACTTTTGAAAACTTTAGTTATATTTCCTTTCATTTGCATTGCCCAGACTGTTTACTCTTTATTTCATCTTGTTCTGTACTACAGAAGGATGTGGCGTTCGCGTGCTGATCCGGGACCCAAACTGGGATTCTACCTAGTTCTTTTTCGGGTAACAGGAGTGAAAGGATTGGAGTCGCCGTCGGCGTCGTCATGGATGTCGTGGCAGGCGTTGGCGGTCAACGATAGTGGCTGCGGCAGCGGCGTTGGCTTCACATCAGGGATGTGACCATCAGTGGGGATTATGATGCAGGGGGGACAGTGCTGGAGAGAGAAGGTGGACTTTTGGAGTAATTGTTGTATTGGGTTCGGGATGCCGATGAGGCCACTGCACATGCCAAACGTGCACTAACGACGGGGACACTTGGGAGGTGTTAAATATTTACTAAATTTCAAAGGGGTGCAGAGTCTACAAAGAACATCTGCATAAATTGTGCGTGCAGTGTGTGAAGTACACACCATGAGACTTTATGCCCCCGCCCCATGAGGCCTGTGATGGGTTCTCATCAGTGAAATTATAATGCACATAAAATGGAAAACTGAAAGCAAGATTTAGGAATAACCAGGCGGCAACTGCCTGGCCGATAAGCATTCCTAATTGCTGCCCACAAAAGGACGAACATACCAAATGTGTGCATGTATTTTACCACGAGAAAATCTCTTATGAATTCTCCTAATCATACGATTAAAAAGTTAAACTTATTTTAACATTTTACTGTAAGAATTCTGAAGCGTAAGCGGCCTTCTCACCATATCGGAGAGACTGATATAAAGGAAGAAACCCGTAGTCAGAGCGAATACCACCGTCGCTCCGGATGGGACTTCACCAATAGCCAGCCCGATAATGAGGCCAATGTAGGCGGAACACGAGGACAGAAAGTTGCAGATTAATGCCCATTTGACGGAAAATCCTGCGGAAAGGAGGATCGCGAAGTCCCCTAAACAAGAGTAAATAAAATGCAAGATTAAACTGCTACCGATGTAGATTTCTGTCATCTAGATTCCCTGAGGCGCAGTTTCAAAAATTGGAGCATTACTTCCAAAAGATGCTTTAATGGTTAGCTGCCTGATCTGTGTTAGTTGATAAGGTCTGAGTAGAAGGCCTTCTGCAACTCTAACATTCATCAGGAATTCAAATGCCTTAATTAGCAAAATGATGCGGTGCAACTTTGTATAGTCCGTAGCACCGTTGCACAACCAGCTAATTTTCATGTAAGCGCCATCCAAGCATGCATTTAGTTTGACCTATGTATTAACCAGGACAATTTAGGCCTGGGATGTAATATACTACACCTCCAGACTTGCATCACTAATAATTGATTGGCTTTCACTCCGTTATCTGTCGCCGGTTCTTTGGTTGTTTTCACCTCGGACGGTGGAGTCGTGTAAGAGTTCGGAAGCTCAGAATAATAAACAGATAGTTCCAGTACTCAACCATTCTTCTCCTACACTAAGGTCTTACTGTTTTGTTAGGACAAGGCACGTTTTAAAATGAAATGTGAACTTACCAAATTCGTGAGGCAGCTCTTCCAGCATTATACTAATACAAAGCGTTATTCCAATAGAGAGGCTTTGAGTGAACCCCGCCCCAATGGTTAGTCCATCCATCATGTTGTGAACGCTGTCTCCGAAGAGAATCATCCAGGCAACTGGGGTTATCTGCGCGAGCCTTTCCCCGTTGCATTTCACCAACATACCATCACAACACCCCTTCTTAGTTTCGGTATCGAAGTTGTCAGTGGACGCATATAAGTCGCTCGCCGTCTTCAAGGACTCCTCAGTCGACTAAATGAAAAGGTGACGAGTCCATATTTGTCATCTTGGCTATAGCAGTATGCCTTATTGTAAAATATAACAGTTCATACAGCAAAAAGGTCAACCTCGGTTTCGATAAATGGGAGAGGCTTTGAAATGTTAAAGTGTACTTTGGTCGGGTAGTGAGTAATTAATTTGGACCCCGAGTGGGAGTTCCCAGAAGATATCGCATAGTGAAACTCAGCCGATAATGGAAACATTTTAACAAACAATACAGTAAGACTCTAAAGGAAACAAGACAAAACGGACTGGGCCATATGTTGCCTATCACAGAGCATGCCTTGACACACTATAGTCCTAAGTGACATTGGAATTCGCGATGGTAATCGACATTAAGCAGACGCGTGGTCCACTCACTAGGGCGTCGAAAACGGACTCGGGTTTAAATTTCGGGTGCAAATG